CGTATCGCCCGAGGTACCAGCCCGACCGCGGGTCGGATCGCCCGACGGCCGAAGAAGGGAGATCCAATCCGCGGGAGGGCCGGGACCGAGGGTGATGCGGAAAACACAGTGTTATACCTTATTTATGTCATACCCACCCGAGAAAACACATCTCGATATTCAAAATGTGCCAAAAGTTTGTGTCTCTAAGCAAAAAATTGTAACAACACCAATTCTAAAGTTCGAATCCGGTATTCGGTTTTTCGAAAGCGGTGCACGCAAAACTCGTTCAAAATATTCTATGGAACATTTGGAAGCCCATGTGATAACCGTTACAAACCCGTGTGATACCGCTAGTTATAACACGGGCCGGAACACCCGTATAGAACGTTATCCCGGTCCAGGTAAGACATAAATGAATATAACAGTCGTCTTTCTCTCGTATGTACCTTATGCAATACTGCCAGCCGTTTGACGCGACTGACTGTCCAAACTAGTCACCACCACTAAACCTGTGCACCCTTACTGTTGTTAGCCTCCGTAGCAGGCTTATAGAACTGGAGGTTTGGTGGTCTTCGGCTGTTTTCTGATTAGCCCAGTTCTAAAAACGGGGGTAATTTAATCAGGCCGGCTATGTTGTCTATTTGCAATCAGAAAATAGCACATAAAAGCCCTCAAAGACCCTGAAGACCCCCAAAACCCCCAGTTTTTGGCATGCTATGGAGGCTATACTGTTGTTACGTGGTTGAGGAAACTTGTCAGTACACTAGTACACACAAAGTGTGAATAAACCACTATGAGTGACAGCTGCGCTTGGATTATTTTGACATACGTACCGTATAGATATGGACCCCACTCTCTTCAGCACATACATGTGTATGGCTTCTTTACACTAAACATTACAATACTTTTGCTCATCATTCAAACCAGAGCAATGTCCATCAATGTAGTAACTGATTATTTAGTCAATCACGATATAACCAAACCATTGTCAGAGCTAGGATCATCCATATTATCCTTCTAACCCTTGGTGATGATACATTAGAAGTCAGTGTCATTGTTACATGCGTGACTCTGCATCAGAAAACGTGCATCTAAGCCCTGATTCAATTTCCTTCTGATCACACATTCAAACCGCGGCTTCCCGTGTTAAATCTGCACCCGGAGTTAGGCTCAGTTCAAAGTCAGAGTTGGATAATTGCGACTGCACATCTGGCTCCGGGCCACATACGCTATCTTTTTGTTACACCAGGTATCGGAGCCTACAGCATTGTAAACTAGGAGAGGAATGCCAAAAACAGTCACTCAAGCAACTGGATATGATTTTGGAAACGGTCAGACGTTTCAGGTAGCATCCACTACCTTTCGTCAGTGTCACTAGTGACTTGCAGGAAAAAGGCAGGTTTGTGAGCACATTTTCATTTCATTTTATTTATTTATACAGGTTAGCATATCGCCATTCTGGCGCTTTTGATAATAGACTCCTGAAAGCAGACGCACAGGTCTTAGCATGAACTATTAATTGATATGCAAATAACTGAAGACAAAACTTTGGAAACCCAAAATGAAAGAAAAGTTAGAGAAGTCAGGACAAGGATGGTGCAACTTAGTCAAATAGCTCCTGTTGTTTCAGAACAGGAGCTTGAGTGTTGCATGTCTCTCTAGGGGAAGAGTAGATATGTAACCCAATTGCAATTGGCTCAAGTGATTGAAAAGGACTTACGCGTCCAATCTGAAATCGTATCACTCTTTCCAATCTACTCAATTGGAGGATTGTGTGACTCACTCAACTCTGCCGAAGAGTTTCAAGGCACGGATGATTTTGATAATCATCGGGATGGTGCTTCTACAAAAAGTGAATACATTCACCTCACGAAACATAACTGCAATATGCTGCCTCGTCATCTGGAATTAACAGTGGCAGTAGACTGCTTCAAATTTCAATAATATCTGAAACGTATAATACGTTGACGTCTTTTGAATGATTTTTTTCCTGTTTCCTTGTCGGAACTATTCAGATTTTTTGTATTAAGTCTGCGGTTTCAGGCTGTGTTAGAATTGGCTGAACAATACTCTTGGGATATCTCTAGTGCAGCCTGACGTGATGCAAAAAATAATTGACTCTTAAGGCACGTAAGATTAGCAATATAACATTCTTTTAATTAAGAGATGCCATAGTTGTCAGTTTGCCATGTGCCGTTTAAATTGAGTTCGTACAGCAATATAAAGAGTACGTTGATGAAGGTTTGACATCTAGGTAAGGAGATGCATAATAAAGCAACTGTCAGTGACGAAAGGTAGTGGATTCTACTTAAAACGTCTGTCAGCTTTTTCTAAATCTATCCAGTTGCTTGAGTGACAGTTTTATTGAGTATAAGAGTTACGTGCCCAAAAGTGAAGATACAAAATATTAAGGTGGTAAATAACCCATCCTGAGTGAACCGTTCTTTTACATGATAAAGCTTCTTACGGACCTTGTTGTTTAACCGGTTTTTCTAGTTACTTGTATATAAGAGTGAATCGTTTCTCTGTTCATTTGTGACGCTGAAGAAGAGTGATGGATGTCACTCGAAACGTCCGGAAATAAATCCGTTAACTGATCCAGTAGTAGAGTTTGAATTTTCTTACGAGAACCCATCCTGAGGTCTTCTAAAAGTACATGTTGCAGTTAAGTATGGTCTTTGAATTTTTGTCACAAAGTGTCTTGTTGCAAGACGATAATTTATGCAAATTTTTATGACGTCAGGATGACGTTATCAATAGTTATAAGAATAACTAGAAGCGCGGGGAAACAGACGTGTTCACCCACCCGTGACATCGAGATAACCTTCACAGGAATTACAGCCGAGCAGTGTTTCATGTCACAGATAACGGGTTTCGGGCGGCAATTTCTGCAGCACAAACTCTGGGCCTCAAATCATCTTTGTGATTAATGGAAACTACGTATAATATTACTAGGGACATCGACCCCCCCCCCCAAAAAAAAGCGTAGACTATCCTTAGTAATACGACGGTGAAGGTTAGACATCCAGGTAATAAGCCAAGGATATGCAAAAAAAAACCAAACAGTTACTCAAGCAACTGGATATGATTTTGGAAAGCCAGTTGCTTGAGTAACTGTTTTTGGCGTATCTTATTTCCTGGGTGTCTAACCTTCACCGATGTATTACTAAGGATAGTATCCAGAACCGTGCTTTATCCACAGCCATACTCAGACACGGTTAACGTTCTGGATAGTCCACGTACGCAAGAGCTGAACTCGAATGTTTCGTATTTCGTCAACTTGTTTTTTTACCCTCCATGTAAATGGGGGGTATTGTTTTTACTCCGTTTCATGTTTGGTCTGATATCTGAAGATCGGTGAGAAGGAACTGTATGATATTTGGCAGATTGATGGATGGGGCCTTGGAGATTGTGTAGGTTGACTTTGAGCACCTGGTGATTGACCTTGGTACTGCAGTTTAATTTTTTTATTCTATTGTTGGCACGTTATGGTCTGTGTGTGCGATGCTAAGGTAGCATGTAGTTGTGGTTACAATGGTTTAGTGATGTAAATTTGGGCCCCCTAGCTGTTTGCTTTGAACCGGAATTGCTATCTCAATGTCAGATTGTTTGCGTTGAATGATCTCAGAACCCGGTGGATGGTTGGCGATCATTTTTGGTATGTGGGTAGACGCTGATTGTCTTTGAGTTTTAGCGTGCATTAGCAGGTTGTCGTAGATTTGCATTGCTTATTTAAAAGGATTTTCACATTTTCACCCCTATTTCATAATAGGATGGTCTGTTTGACCCCAAATTGGCACAGAGTGTTTTTGTTTATACCTCCAGCTGGCAGGTCAGGCCAATCTATTTTTACCTCTAGACCATTTCTGCAGGAAATATATCTTATCTTTAATCGGTCATTCAGCAGGGAACTGGGTCATCTGGTGCTTGAGAGGTCATTGACCTCAAACAAACCATGGTAACAAGACACTAAACGATTGCACATGACAGCTTGGGCAACCCCTTCCAATACGAAGTGCCACAACAAAATTCTTAAAGGATAGACATCTATAGACATCTATCATTCTGCTGATAAAAACAAAGTTTGACTCATAATATCTCTATTAAAATACACCAAAAGATTACAAAATAACAAGCTATTTCATGGAGGGACGATGTCTACGACTTCTCCTTGTTATAGATGTATGTTATGCTTTTAATCGTATTCCTAATGTCGAGAGATCTTCGTTCGCTCTTTTATAATAATAATGGTTTATTCTCCACATTCTTACGGTACAGCGTCGCAGGGTTCCCGTAAAGGGGCCCTGAATTGATCTGCCGCTTACAATCGATAAAATGTGACGGAGGTATACATGTAAAGCTTAAAACTTAAGACGGTACAAGTATTACATTTCCACATAATTTTGCCTTAGTCATACTTTATTGCATTTTATATTATCTTCGTAACTTTCAACAAATTTCATGTCGCAATTTCTGTGTATATGCCATTTTATTGAATCAAACTTAACTGAACTGTGCTGAACTGAGACAGAATGCCAGCCTGACGCCACCAGACTGACACGCGCTCACCTTGATTGTGCAGTCAATCCCCAATCACGGTCACTGAACCATCAATCTTATGCGTTGCCATGGAAACGACATTATACTTTGACCTACTTAAATGTTGCCTGTGACATGGTCTATATATAGACCGCGGCAACATTTATCTAAATTCCGTAAAACTTTTGACATTAACAGATGAATCACTGTAAAGTTCCGCCAAAAAACAGTTACTCAAGCAACTGGATATGATTTTGAAAACGTCAGACGTTTCAGCTAGTATCCACTACCTTTCGTCAGTGACTGAAAGACCATAGACCATAGACTGAGAGACCTCTGTTAAACCTGCATTTCCCCCCTGGTCTCTCATCAGTCACTGACGAAAGCTAGTGGATACTAGCTGAAACGTCTGACGTTTTCAAAATCATATCCAGTTGCTTGAGTAACTGCTTTTTGGCGTATCGTATTACATGGATGTCTAACCTTCATCGACGTAACTGTAAAGTTCTTTCCACATTGGAGGGCCTAAGGGCGGTACGTGTTTTATTAAAGATTTTATCAACTGTAGAAAAACATACTTTTGTAAAGCCTACATTATGATGACTAGGGCTGCGTACCTAAACGTAACATCAGGTACAGGTACAGGTACTGGTACAGAGGTTTAGGTACAGGTCCGGACCTGTACCTGTACCTGAACAATTTGACAAATTAACACGTGTTCTTCACTTTTTCAATCATGACACAGAAACAATAATAAAGTGTTGGAGGGAAGGGAAAATGACTGACCTCTGACCTGATTTGAGTTTGTTGACCAATCACAACCCTGGATCAGCCACACTCTCGCGATGTCTCGTGAGACTGAGGATCTCAAATCAATCGACGGTGTTTACGTCTTTTCCAGTGCTAATTTTTCGTCTTTGTGGTAGGATTTACCTATCTTTAGTCATATACATGGTGTAAACTAGCTATTTCGGTATATACTCGTTACTTCATGATCCGGTATTTTGGACCTGTACCGAAACGATTTTTACGGTATTGGACCGGTACAGTGTACCGGTCCGCAGCCCTAATGATGACATTATGATACGGTTATTATTGCTACTCCGTGAATAGTTTCATCAGGTCGGTAAGATACTTAGTAAAGAGACTCTTTTTACACAACCAAGTCTTTATTCAGCCGACGTTTCGGTGACCGTCTGTCACCTTCCTCAGGGCAATTCTGACTGGTTCACATTGCACTGCAGCACAGGTGTCGCTGCTACAGATGCATCCCGATGTACAATGCAATGTGAACCAGTGGGGTCGTGTGGCGTAGCGGCAGAGTGCGCGACTCGGAACTAAGAGTCCCGGGTTCGAGTCCTGACATGCAACCGATCTTGTGCCCTTGGGAAAGGCACTTTACACGACTTTCCTCACTTAGCTCAGGTGTAAATGAGTATTGTCCTGTAATGTATTTGTCCCCTATGTTGGTGGTTGGTGTTGGTGGCGGCATTAATATAAGTTGAAGAAACTTGAGTGTGTCGTCACCACGTCTGGTGATTACATGTTGGAATAAAAAAAAATGTGAACCAGTCAGGAACCAGGTAATTGGATTTCCGTGTCGCGATAAGAGAGCTCCTCCGCTCTGCCTGCCGGCTTTTATTGTAACTACCCGCCCTGATCAGCCGCCCTTTGAAGGTCAGGTTATATTGATCGCGATCACGGAAACACACGTCAGCCAGGCACGGACAACTGCAGAATATTCTCAACACAACAGAGCAACGTACTTTTGCATACATGTAGGAACAACGCCGGCAAAGTTAAGACTAAGTTACCAATGCACTAGAATGTAGCAATGATAGGTTAATAAACATGCTGATCATCAACTGAAAGTTGACAAAAACAGATTTCTGAGAGATCTTGCTGGCAAATTGGATTGTAAAAGTCATTCAAACAATAATACATCTGTGTGTGTGTGTGTGTGTGTGTGTGTGTGTGTGTGTGTGTGTGAGTGTGTGTGTGTGTGTGTGTGTGTGTGTGTGAGTGTGTGTGTGTGAGTGTGTGTATGTGTGTATGTGTGTCTGTTGGCGCGCGCGTGTGTACGTGTGTTTTTTTTTGTGTGTGTGTGCGTGTGTATGCGTGTGTAATACGTATGTGCGTGTTTGAGCATGTGTCAGTGTGTGTGTGTGTGCGTGCGTGTGCGACTTTCGTCGCCGTTAGAATCTAAGAACGATTCTGAACTTTCCTGCATACATTCATGTTCAAATCTTTATTGCATTGGTTTCGGCATCAAAAATATACATATAGCCACAAATCATAAGAATATAATTCATCATCCACATTATTAATTTGATACAATGAAGACGATTATCTTCATCAAACTATGTTAGAAATACATGATCCCGATGTTTACTATTTCCCAATGACTACATCGTTACTTACTCACAATATACATATTTTGGGGAACATTTTACGTCAAATATGATCAATTTCGGAATTAGGACACTAGATTATCCAACAAAGTACTAACTGTGGCATAGCAGAGGGCTGTCCCTGTATTTTATCATCTCAGAATGGTGGCTTTTTTTATCATCTCAGAATGGCGACATTCAAATTGATTACTAGTACGTCTAGAGGTCACTTCGGTAGAAACTAATCAACGCAATATAAGTATACACCTATGAAAAGCACCGACGTGAAGCAATGTAACTGTAAATAAACATGTAATACTATGTGTTACTTGCACTTATAGCACCTTATACGTCTGTTGAAGTGGTATATGATTGTTATAATTAATTGGCCATGACGATTGCCGTATGTTGACCGTCTTTGGGTTGGTTACTCAAGTGAGTACGGCACAGAAAGAGCCGGACATGCGTCCTAGGCCAGCCTCGACTGCCTTACGCAGCTAATCTCCAAGCAGATCATACGGTGGCAAGACAGTATCCATCCGAACCTCTTGGTTCCAAGCCGAACGCTCTGTCATTACTCCACACGACCCCCCTTTTTAACTCCTCGATTCTAGATTCTCACGCAATGATCTGAATCTGAAATTTTACCTGATATAACCGCGGCCGTCCCTTGGGTGATCTACTTGAAGACACATGAACAGCTAAATCCAATTGTTTTCTAAAGCTATCTAATGAACACTCTTATTGTACTAACAGCAGAAGATCCATTCTACAACTGTTACAGTTCGGGACAACAAAAATGTTTTTCTTAACTTCGTCGGTGTAGGTTAGACATCCAGGTAATAAGATACACCAAAAACAGATACTCAAGCATTTCCAAAACCATATCCAGCTGCTTGAGTAGCTGCTTTTCTTTCTTAACTCCTTAATTCTAGATTCCGACGCGACACGATGCCGCTCACGTCTCCCCGATGTCACCCCGCCCCGGCACTGCGTAATTACAGTAACCGCGCTGTCGTGTGTACTAACAATCAGCTACCGCATGATATGGCCACATCGACTTAATTTTATGGATGACATCCACGCGCGCATTGATTTTCGCCTGTTCTCAAATAAAAAGAAGAAAAAAAGATCACGTCTGGCCTGGCTCTAGGCCTGGGTAGCCCATGGTAGTTAGCGACAATACGGAGCCGGTGGTAACCCTGGAGGACGGCACCCAGGCTGCCGAAGCTCCCCGACTCAAGAACTCAGTAACGTTACATACGTACAGTGTCAATTCATAAATTCCGCAAAAAACCAGCATGTGCTTGTCGTATATGTTTGTAAGTACTGCCATAAATTCACAACACCAGCCTAGTATTCCTGTGGTTTAGTAGCATTTTTATTTTGAGCCGGAATTGTTTTATTCGCCCGCGCGCACTAGTTTGGAGGTATTCATAGGATGTCATCCATAAGATTAAGTCAGTGTGGCCTAATAAACCTCTCCTTCGTGTGTAATAACAATCAGCTACCGCATTAATCAAGCCGCGGCGCGGATAGACCCACCGAGAATATCAATCACGTCCTGACAAATCGCTTCCCCGGAATAAACCGCCGTGATTGAGTTCAATCGGATCCAATATAGTCTACATCCATCTAAAGCCGCACGCAGCGTCCCTGAGGAGGGGGGGGGGCGTAATCAAGATAGATAGGACAAGACTGCTTAGAACCTAGCCTCCGTAACGGGCTTATAAAACTGGGGTTTGGTGGTCTTCGGCTGTTTTCTGATTAGCCTCCGTAGCAGGCTTATAGAACTGGGGGTTTGGTGGTCTTCGGCTGTTTTCTGATTAGCCTCCGTAGCAGGCTTAGTAGAACTGGGGTTTGGTGGTCTTCGGCTGTTTTCTGATTAGCCTCCGTAGCAGGCTTATAGAACTGGGGGTTTGGTGGTCTTCGGCTGTTTTCTGATCAGCCTCCGTAGCAGGCTTATAGAACTGGGGGTTTGGTGGTCTTCGGCTGTTTTCTGATTAGCCCAGTTCTAAAAGCGGGGGTAATTCAACCAGGCCGGCTATGTTGTCTTATATGCAATCAGAAAATAGCACATAAAAGCTCCCAAAGATCCTGAAGACCCCGCAAAATCCCAGTTTTTGGCATGCTATGGAGGCTACTTATAACCACCCAGTGTTCCCTCTGTATTTCAGAGATGTTAAGTCTGGCACGTTTTGTGCAGTTCTGAGACCCTAATGCAACACAATCTATCGCATTTTTCACCTTCGGAATTAGAAAAGTTTTAGTATCTTTCATAAAAAGCACCCAGGTGTGTGAAATGATGATGGTATTTTACTGTACGTTTCTACCTACCTACTGTACGTTTCGACTCATCAGACAAATACATGCTCGCCGTACGTTTCAATGCATCCTTTCACGTGGGACGCTAAGTGGGCTAGTCTGTACTGAAATCCTTCGTACAAGTCATTGCTACCGAAGTAGTCTTTGTGAGAATCGACGCCGATCGCTTCCTTAGAAAGCGCGGTTCTCAGCATGTTCACCAACTTGTCTTTCTCGGTGGCGTCCACCGACCCTTTCCGAATCCGCTCCAACGTCCCTCTCCTGAACCGACAGTTTCTGTAGTTGTCTGCGTCTTCCACACCGACTGGGCAACTTTCAGGGCAGCCGGACTTCTCCCCGGCTTCTACTGAGGAGTAGAACACCGGAGGACACCGCAGCAGCGGTTCACACACTTTGCTCCCGATGTCGGGGGAGAACGCGCGCGAGTTGTCGTGCGACACGAGTCGCAGCTCCGACGTCGCGAAAGTCGTCCTGTGCGGGTTGTGCAGCAGGAAGTCGAGCAGATGCATGTCGATGATGTCCCACGTCATCTGTCGGGTGACGCCCAACTCTTGCAGGTCTCTGAGCGACGCGTCGTGATTCAGGAAGTTCTTCACCTCGCTGCTGAGCTTGACGTTCCGCACGAGATCTTTGATCTTGCCGACGACGATGACGTCCAGCACGGGGTGTTTGTGAGCCGGGTCGCGGCGAAGTTTGCTGGCGATCCACTCCACGCTGGCGTTAGCGCGGATCTTACCCGTCTGCACGTCCGTAAGGTACCGGCCGAGGGTGACGCCGTCCCTCGTCATGTCTCGGACCACCTCGCCGTCGTCGCTGACGACCCCCTGCAGCGCGACAGACCCGTCCAGGACGAGCCGGCGCGACGCGGCGACGGGGACCCGACCGAGCCCAACCAGCCGGTCCACGTGGTAGGACACGAGCTCGGCCAGCCCGCCGTTGAACAGCTGACCGCCGACGCGCTCCCGCGGCACGTCGCTGACGACTTTGAGGTACGCCAGGTCGTCTCCGTCCGCGAAGTTTGCCAGGATGTAGTCGCGCCCAGCCACGAGGTACGCCTGCCGGACCGGCGAAGTCTTGTACACCGCCCGCAGTCTGCTGTCGAACTGGTCGGCGTCGCTGTTCTCACAGAGGCTGGAATTAAGGAAGGAAGGAAGGAAGTAATGAATACATGAATAAATAAAAGAAATTTTATCATTATGTCTTTATGCATTTATGTCTGTTATTTCACCCTTTATGTCTTTTCTTCCAATTCTTACTCAAACACATTGACATACATGGTAACAGGAGTCTATATCCCTCCCACTATGAAATTGCAACACGATGTAACCCAACGTAACACCAGTTACCATGGTGACAGGCGGTCTGATTCAGGTCATTGAACACCAGGACAGTGTTTGGAACGGAAGAAGAAACAGAGCAAAAACAATGCTTTCACACTTTTTTCTCTAAACATAATGAAGGAATCAGTAGTTTAGAAACAGCGACAACACCGAGGCAGCACCTGTTATATTCTGCCAGCAGAACTGACGCCCTCCCGTCCACTTCCTCATAGATCTCAGGGTCTTCCTTCAGCAGCAGGGGGGCCATGACCTTGTCAGCCAGAACTTCGTCCTTGAACTGAACACCCAGACTGGTTACCTAAAGAAGGAAAAGAGGGGGGGGGGTAAGTCTCGTGAAATCCTTGTGGCTAAAATACATGCTTAGCAAAAATTATTAATTTTCTGAAGAGTTTCTAATAAATAGCTAACTACAACTGTACGAAATGCACCCATTTGAATAAGGTTTGTTTTTATCCAAAATCTACTTCTATGCCTTAACGGGTTAGGGTTAGGATCAGGTACGGTTCTGGATAGTCTCCGCGTATCCGAGAACGTAGAATTTCCCCATGCACGGTTCTGGATACGCGTGGACTATCCAGAACACGAGGCTGAGCATGGTTCTGGAAAAGCACGATTCCGGACACAGCATATTTGTATTTTATCTTTTGGAGATTAAACGACACTGGATAAGCCAAAGCAGCTCACGATAGTTACAGCTGAGCCACGAAAATACAGACGAGCAAACATACAAACATATTTACCGTAGAAGACACGGAAGTGGCGAGTTTGAGCCTGTCCACCATCTCCTGCGGTACTTTGCAGACGTGACTCTTGGTGAACAGAATGTCCGTCAGACGGTCCAGACGGTACCTGGGCGGAAAACAGTGTTTTACACATGTGCTACGTGTTAGGCTTCAACCCACAGATGAGCAGAATGCTGCTATTATTCTGAGAAAACAAATACTGCAGCAACTGTATGAACGTTGAATGTAAAAAAAATGTTCTTGCTCCACTGTATGAGTACGATAGTGTACAATAACTAAAAACTCTTAAAGGAAATTAACAATGGTTATTGAATCGACAAATTTGACAATGAAATGATAAAGTATTGATTTGGAGATACATGTACACAGATGAATGGAGGAATGAATACATGATCAAATGAATGAACGAACGAACGAATGAATGAATGAATGAATGAATGCATGAACGAACGAACGAACGAACGAACGAACGAACAAACGTTACCTGTAGGCCGGCGGCATGTCGCCCGAAGCTACCCGCTCCGGCACCAGACAGCGGTCGTTGTCGATGAGCACGTAGTTGTTGGTCTCCTTGTCCGCGAAGTGGGAGTGTCCGGACTTCATGCAGTTGGCGAGGTAGAGGAACGCGACGTACCTGTACACAAGTCCACAAGTATGGAACGAGTACAAAAACGCGCTGTGCGCATCACTGTGCCAAAAGCCAGGACTGAGCGACTGAAAAGATCATTTGTTCACTGTGCGGTAAAACTGTATAACGAGTCTGTTTCATAAGCTACCCCATGCTGTATCTGCGACCAATTTTGTTATCTTTATGCTGTATTTTACTACTGTTTATTGTTCATTGATTATATTGTATTATGTGTTGATTGTAACAAACTACCCACTTCAGGGAGACTTGTGTCTTTCCCTGCATATGTATGTTTGCGGTTGGAAAACCAATAAAGACGTTGTATTGTACGTGAAGAAGTTCCTGGGATGGACGAGGTCTGCCAGCAGGACGGACAGGCGGGTGTACATGCCGATATCCGGCAGCCAGGCCGTGACGAAGGCCGACACGCCGGTGGCCGTGCGGTCGCTCAGCGCGCAGTCCACGTCGCTTTTGGCTAGGGCGGACGCGTTCCTGTAGTAGAATGGTTTATTTCAGTATAGGAGCCTATAACCAAAACCTACCTACCTACCTAGTCCCATGACCGACACTGGTCATCGGGGGGACAAGGCAGACCTTGCAGCAGAGATGTAGCCAGGTCCTCCTGTCTTGGGCTGCTGTCAGGAGTTGTGGGACGGTGAGGGACGTCCAGTCCCTCACCGTAAGCCTCAGCCTCTTTTTGGTTACGGTGAGGGACTGGACGTCCCTCACCGTAACCAAAAAGAGGCCTAGAAATGTGATTTCGTCGCACCCACTTTACAGAAAAGGTTTGACCTTATTTTGCGGTAGAGGGGCCTCTGCCACATCACCTAGTGTGATTTTTATGCTAAAAATTTTATACCCAGTAAATACTATACCCTGTTAATACACAACAATAATGTTGTGAAGTGATTGGTCATTAATTATCCTGATGAAGGCGACAGTGGTCGCTGAAAATTTGATCCCTGTGTAATTGTGTGTTGGAATAAAGTCCAACGTTGTACTATGAACACTAGCAATAAATCACCTGTCCAGGATGTTGGAGAAATCCAGGATCATGCCGAAGGACGGAGGAGTCAGTGACGTCTTCATGACTCTGTCGAAGTAGTGCGCCTTGAGCTCCCGGAGGTGGCTCTCGCCCTGGAAGTGAAGGATGTTGCTGAAGACCGACTTAAGTTGCACCTGTGATGAAGAGGAAGAAGAACTTTATTGCACGACAGATGTACCGGTACAACGTATGGCAATATATAACATCTGTGTCCACAATATCACCAGGGTCCATAATATCGCCACCTTGAGAAATAGTGTGCTTAAAGATATTTTTACTGCAACATACCCTAGGTATGTACATTTGATGTGTGCAGGAGTGCATACCAAAAGTATGTTGCAGTAAAAATATCTTTAAGCACACTTTGTCAAGGTGGCGATATTATGGACCCTGGTGATATTATGGACACAGATGTTACATACATAGTTAGTGATGCTAACAATATCTAACAGTTCTAAGAGGTGACAGTTCTGACTGTTGTAAGTAGCTCATCTACGTTCATGTATGCGTTTGATCATTGTTGTTTCTTTGCCATACATTGTACCATTGTTGTTTCTTTGCCATACATTGTACCATTTTTGTTTCTTTGCCATACATTGTACCATTGTTGTTTCTTTGCCATACATTGTACCAGCTACAGTTGTTGAGCAATAAAATTGATTTGATTTGATATATGTGAGCGACATGGTAACGAGACAAAGAAATCAACTTGACAAATTTCCAGTGCACACACAGCAGTATAGAAGCAGCCCAATTCTATTTTTAGCAAGTTGGCTTTATGTATGTAACGTTATAATTACATGTATGTAAGAACACATAATTCAGCCAGTGGGTTGCCAGTGGTTCACTTGCAATAAACCAAACTCTATATACCTTGGTCTTCTGGCAGTCGCTGTCCGTGTACTGGTACAAGTCGGCTGCGAAGGACACTCCGCATTCCTCCCTGGTCTCCACCTTTTTTAAAAGACATAAGACATAAGAAAACTTTATTAGCATTGACAGACTCACGAAAAATCCGAATTATCGCTAATTTAAAATACAGTATTGACATTCACGGAGGATTAAAAACCCTAGAGAAACATTCACTTCTAGTGACATCATTTACAAATGTACAATTTTAAAATTACAGAAATCAAATTATAGATATACATACATATTTAAATAAAGGGTGGAATCATTTTAGAGATTTGTTATATTTATAGCAGGATTGCTGGGTACAAGAAAGATCGTTTTAGTCTCCTCGACATTTTGGTAGCTTCTACCAGGCTTCAGAAGGCGGCTGGAAAGAGTAGAAATCGGCCACATAGAGAGATAACATGCCAGAGGAGTTGGTCTGCTGGGGAGAACAGTTTGCCGCTAAATGTACTCCAGCGGACCAACTCCCCTGGCATGCTATCTCTCTATTTGGCCGATTTCTACTCTTCCCAGCCGCCTCCCGAAGCCTGGTAGAGGCTAACATGTTGTTACCTTCCCCGTGTGGATGGTGGCGCCCTTGCGGTTCTGGACGTTCAGCATCCGCCAGTGGTCGAAGCTCCCGAAGGTCAGCTCGGCCGTCTCCTTGCAGCACGAGTCGCACAGGTCCAGCCGCTCTAGCCTGACGCCGCTCAGAGTCTCGGGGTTGTACTCCGACCACAGGCACTTTCCGTGCGGCAGCTCAGGCGCGATTTGACAGTCAGAGTGGTTCAGAGAAATCTTCGGCTGCAGGCACGGGGAATGCTTCTTCTCCACCAACCTGAAGTCCAAATACTACAAGTGTTAATGGGCCTAAATTCTGATGTGTTTCCGCCAATGAGATATAGGAGGTTAACACGTAACCCTTAGTAGCCACTCCAACTCAAGAAAATTTTTGTCAAATAACTTTGTTAGCATTAGCATTTTTAATGTCTTGGGTTGGTGGAACTACGTCGCATTGATAAGTCAACTTTGTGTATTTAAATGTGAATTGTATTTTGTTGTGTGGCGCTGTTTTGACAGTGTGGCGCTGCACTCGAGTTTATAACTTATTTTAAAAAGTTATACACTTGAGTGCAGCGCCACACTGTCCTTGTTATATTTTGATGTTTTGATGAATAAAAAAAACAAACCTGAACTGGGACCGAGCCTTCCTCTTCACCGACTCGCTGTTGACGAAGAAACACTTCAGCCTCACGTTTTCCGAGCCCCGGTCGGCTTCCGTCCTCTCCGCTCCGTTGATGTACACCTTCAGGTTCTTGTCTGCGTTCCCCATGGCCAGCGTGTTCTCCAGCTCCAACTCCCCGCCAGTTTCGGCGTTCTCGTCCCCGTACCAGATCCCAACCTAAAGATTCGACAGTTTTATTTTAGCCTGTGAAACCCAAGCTCCGGGGGCTCCCTACATAGTCCGCCACCGCGGCGGACTACTAGGGAGCCGGCGAAAAGCGAGGTTCAGTCAGGCTAGTTTTATTTGTTCTTCGCGGTTAAAACTAAAATAGGTTATATAGGCTCAGGATTAACACAGGCCAATGAAAATACAAGTTCGAGTTTCTAGTACACGGCCAGTTATTTGTGATCTCTGTGAAGGTAGCCAGTCTCTGTACTCTTGCTAAGTGTCCTAGCAAACTTTTTACATACATACCTCGTTCAGAGGTGTCACAACACATCCACATAGAGTCACCCGGACACTTTGTTTTACTAGACACTGTAAGGATTTTGGACACTGAACAAGACCCTCGTGAGAGGGGTGAAGGAGGCTATATACATCAGGGCCCACCAACCTTCACTTAACCGCGACGGGGGCCGACATCGTCTGCCAGATACTTTTGACCCAGTGTTGACGTCACACTTCAAAGGAGCCACGTGACAAGCTTCACTGGGTCAGTCTACTGAGGAAGACCAGAGTGACTGGTCGAAACCTCTAGGTGAGAGAACTTCTTTGTGTTGGATCTAAAGTTTTAACTCTAAACATACATACCTCGTTGTTGACTACGACGCTGTTGGACACGGTGACGTTCGGCCGGCCGGAGCTCAGCTGCAGCCCGACGCGGCAGTTTCGCAAGAGGGCGCTGCTGATGGTCACGCGAGACTTCTTTCCGGAAGTGACGACACAGGCCCGCCGGAAGTCCTCCACGATGGTGGACTCGATGGCGAGGTTGGTGCCCTTGTGGTGAATACCCAACCCTCCACCAACTGCAAACACACTGTGAAAAGAAAAAAATAATAATAATAATATTCTCTCACCTAGAGCTTTTGACCGCGACGGGGGCCGACATCGTCTACCAGATACCTTTGACCCAGTGCTGACGTCACACTTCAAAGAAGCCACGTGACAAGCCTCACTGGGTCAGTCTACTGAGGAAGACCAGAGTGAATGGTCGAAAGCTCTAGGTGAGAGAACTTTTTGTGTTGGATCAAAAGTTCTAACCAAAGAATTTTCCTACCTGTCGGATATTTTGGAGACCTCTCCGTCCGGCGGAGTGATACGTGGGGAGTAGAAGGTGAACCCGTCCACGGCGAAGTCTGACGAGCCTGTTTGCTCCTGTCCGATTTCGGTCACGTGGACGTTCTGTAGCGTCACTGCCGCCTCCTGTACAGAACCTCCCCCGTTACACCTGGCTATCACTGCATGGTGTACCTAGGTGGGGAAATAGGAATCAGGACAAGCACAAACAGTCCCTAAACTCCGTAAACCTAACCCTAACTCCAACCAACCCCAACCCCTAACCCCAACCCCAGCCCTAGCCCTAGCCCTACCCCTAGCCCTAACCCTAGCCCTAGCCCTATAATACTATACTCCTAACCCTATCCCTAACCCCAACCCCAACCCCAAACCTAGCCCTGCAGCACAGAACCGCCCCCGTTACACCTGGCTATCACTGCATGGTGCACCTAGGTGGGCAACTAGAAGCCATCAGGACAAACCAAAACAGTCCTAGTCCTAACCCTAACCCCAACCCCAACCCTAGCCCAAACCCAAACCCAAACCCAACCCCCAACCCCCCAATCCCAACCCTAACCCTAACGTTAACCCTAACCCTAACCCTATTATATTTATATATATGCTTCTCAGCGTACAGAGGCTGGGGCCGCTGGCTTGGAAATGACTGAGCGCCTCACCAAACTAGGAGGCAACGGTCATCGGGACGAGCCAAAACTACATGAAAGGGGGCCGACATCATCTACCTCTGACCCAATGTTGCCGTCACACGTCCAAAAAAATCCACGTGACAAGCCTCACTGGGTCAGTCTACTGAGGAAGACCAGAGTGACTGGTCGAAAGCTCTAGGTGAGAGAACTTCTTTATGTTGGATCAAAAGTTTTAACTTTATAGTCTCACCTGGAGTCTGCAGCGCTCCCCACCGATGGCGCCGCCTACGCTGTCGATGATCCCTCCTCCCACGAAGGCGATGTCCGAACCTTCCTCTCCGTGTATCACCCTCCGCGTGTCCAGGTTACCGAAGTTGGAGTGTGCGCTCGCGCCGCCTTGCAGGAACCACGCGTTATGCAGCGACCCCCTCGCGCCCCTGCCGAACAGCAGCTGGCTCCACGGCCTCGTCTCGCCGCCGCTGTGAGCCGGATAACCGGCGAAGACGATCGGTTCTCCCTCTTTCGTGCCCAGCTTTGCCTCGCCGAGAACTTCGATCCGCGCGTCGGGCTTCATAAGCACGAAGACGCCCGGGTTGACCACCAGTAGGCCGCCGGTAGGCACCGTCACTGCGCCCTCGACCACCACGAAGCCTTTCGTCCACTGCAGGCCGGTGTTGCTCAGCGTTCCGCGTTCGATCCTCCTAGTCTCGACGGCCGGGTCGTCTAAGTCGACTGCCTGGATGGAGAACTGTTCAGAACACGTCTCCTCCGCGACCCTGCCGCCGGCTGAGTGCGCGACCCGTCCGCTGACCGACACCAGGACGTCCCACGCGCCGGCCCTCGGGAGGGAGAGGCTCGTCGTGCCGACGCCGTAGTATAAAGTCACGGTCCTACCCGGGGAGTCACCGCCGACCGTTACAGAGGCCTCCGCCCGGGGGATTGAGCGGATGCTCCCGCCGGTGATCTGGATCTTCACGGGGAAGGCCGCGCCTGTCGGCACGGTGTCTGGCCGGGTGACGACCAGTTCGCACCGCCCGCCCGCCAGCCGGAGGACCGACTTGAGCGTGACGGGAGCCACCGTGTCCAGCCGCACCTGCATACAGCGTTTGTGATGAGAGACAAGTCTTTAAGATTCTCTTTCTCTTTATTAAGATACCCTTTAGCCCAAAAGCTAATCTTCCAGGGTTCATTAAAAAACACATGTACGTATGTAACACGAAAACAGATTTACACTACATACAAATGAAGGAACATAATCTATAAAATTAAACTTAAAGTTCGTTGTGGGGTCGTGTGGCGTAACGGCAGAATTCTCGACTTGGAACCAAGAGGTCCCGGGTTCGAGTCCAGATGACATACCACCGACCTTGTGCCCTATCCTCACTTAGCTCAAGTGAAAATAAGTATTGTCCTGTCTTCTACGTTGGTGGCGGCATAATATAAGTTAAAAATACTTGAGTGTGCCGTCACCACTTTTTGTGATTACATGTTGTAATGCCATAAGTTAAAAATACTTGAGTGTGCCGTCACCACTTTTTGTGATTACATGCTGTAATGCCATGTTGATTTGATTATATTATGCCAAAATCAATTCAGGAAAAGAAGAAAATGTGCAGAAATGAAAATTAAGGTCTAATATTATTCGCCCTACCATTCTCTTCGTGTATAGTCATTTGTTCAACCTTTATAACCAAGAACATTTTATAATGAAGGAAACTTTTTTTGGCCAAACTTTTTTATTCGCACGCTCGCATCAGTTTTAGAGTTCCCAGAGGATGCCATCCATATAATCAAATCAACATGGCCTAATTTAGAAAAAAAATAAGTAGATTAAGTCCGTACGTTGAGCAGGACGGCGATCGTGGCCAGGCTCAGCAGGAGTACCATGGTCCTCCGCGTCAGCAGCCGGCTCGGCAGACGGAGACCTGGCGGACAGGGAACGGCACGCGTAAGGCCAGGCCCATGTATTCCACTAGGACGACACTACATTCTGCGACATTAGCCTCTACCAGGCTTCGGGAGAGGGCTTTAAAGAGTGGAAATCGGCAAAATAGGGAGATAACATGCCAGGGGAGTTAGTCCGCGGTGAGAGAACAGTGTGCCGCACCCGGACATGTTATCTCTCTATTTGGCCAATTTCCACTCTTTCCAGCCACCTCCCGAAGCCTGGTAGAGGCTACTGCGACATGACATTGGCTTGTCAAGTGGTTGTGGGTAAAAAAAAGTTTGATATTCAAGGAGCCGCACCGCTATTTTATACGTACCTTAAATTATCAAATAAAGTACGCATACCTATTTTGGGACTGGCCGGAATCTCAGTCCTTACGAGTATACGACGAATTCGAAGCAACACACTAAACTCCATATCGAATTCGAAACCTATCCAAAGTTGCACAAACAACACAAACCAACCTGTCCCAGCCATGTGTTGCGCTAAACGTCGTCCAACGGCGATGTCAACAGCAGCGAAGTGACGAAACCGTCTCAGACGTGTTGGTGATACAGTTACGACTGCACGTTAGAACGTAGACCAGTGTCTCCTCCTGCTCCCACCTGTAGTGTGTTCGAGAAAACTCGGTAAGTCACTCTGACATACACGTGACAAAACAAAAAAACAAATCTGTTCACCACAAGGTTTAAACGTGGCAGACGTGTCTGTGATCAGAGTTACGGCAGCGCGTCAGAACGTAGACCAGCGTCTCCTCCTACTCCCACCTATAGTGTGTGTGAGAAAAATCAGTAAGTCACTCTGAGGTACACGAGACAAAACAAAACAAATCTGTGCACTACAACGTTTACACGCGCAAGCGCGATCGAACGTACTCCGCGGCAAGTTGTTGTAAATAGTAATTTATGACCTGACAGGGGCCAACTTGGGCAGAGGTAAGGGCCTCGGGCCAATAACAATAACTGAGGGCTAGTGGGGTCGTGTGGCGTAGCGGCAGAGTGCTCGGCTCGGAGCCAAGAGGTCCCGGGTTCGAGTCCTGACATGTCACCGATCTTGTGCCCTTGGGAAAGGCACTTTACACGGCTTTCCTCACTTTGCTCAGGTGAAAATGAGTGTTGTCATGTAGTGTATTCGTCCTCTGTGTTGGTGGCGGCATAAAATAAGTTGATATAACTTGAGTGTGCCGTCACCATGTCTAGTAATGAAATGTTAGAATATATAAAAAATAACTAACAACTTTACCGCCACAACTCTGACGGCGTGGTAGCCTATATATAATCTCGAAGCAGATCCTAGGGTGGCAAAATGACAGTATCAAATTGGCCAGGCAGTATCCATTGGTCAAAAAGGGTCCATGCGAAAAAAACAACAAACGAAAAAGATAACGATCTTCCCCTATCAACCTCTGCTTGGACAGGGGTGCCAGAGTATACAGTGCAATTTTACTAATATGCGCATATGCAGTGCAATGTTACTAAAATTGCACTGTATACTAAAAATAAATACGATTGCACTGTATTCCGTAAAATTGCACTGTATACTAAAAATAAAATACGATTGTACCGTATTCCGTAAAATTGCACTGTATACTAAAAATAAAATACGATTGTACCGTATTCCGTAAAATTACTCTGGCACCCCTGTTGGAGAGTAGGGGTACCCGAACTCTAAACGTGACCACAGACGACAGTGTAAACAGTGCACGCGGACTTGTTGTTGTGGCGGTACAATAGGCCAGCTCGTTACCCGGGGGCAGACAGAACGCCCTGCACAAACTTTCTCTGATTTAGAACAAAATAAAAACTGACCGCAGAAGTGATCACAGCTGGCGACTACTGCGCATGCGTAGAATGGGAATATTGTACATGTAGCGTTTGTTTATTTGATATTAAACACTGACTGGCTAAACGACCTCGCACGAGGAGGTTTAACATTGCCAAAGTCAGCATTTTTGCTTCGTTAAGGATACATGCTTCTAAATTTAGCTGATAGCCTTGATGGGTGTCATTAAATTTTTTGTCATGATTTAGCTTTTACAGTGTTCTGGCAATAATAAAAACATACGTCGCGTCAACTTCATTTCGATGTATGACCAAATGTTAAGGGCACACACAATGTCTCTTGTACATTCTGATCATCATACTTTCACACACTAAAAACATATAAGTCATTGTCGGTCGGTACACTATCCCCCTCCTCATTGAGCATACGGGGACGTATGCTATAGCTAACTTACTCGGCGATGACACCCAGGCACATCGACAGACACCTGTCCTACAACAGATCTATTCATGATCTTTTGAAAATCATCAAGGCCATGCTGCATGCATATTAAAAGCCTCAAGGTTGTCAGACGAAACTTTGAACCTTGCGGTTAGTCCAGACACATAAGTACACAAATAACAGTGAAGAACGTGTCTGTACGCAAACTGCGGACTGAACATGCCGGAGTCAACAGGCCGTTCACCTCTGGCCGTCAGGACAACACCAAGGGTACGTGAGAAAATGTTCCCTCCTACCTAGTTCCCACAACGCAAAAATAGGTAGATATATAAAGGAATGCTTTGTTATTAGAAAAAATACCGAAACTTGTGATTAGCCCACTCGATTGTAACACTTTATCAAAGACTTGTACTATCCCTTATTGTTTGAATAATTAAGATATGTTAGGTTTTATTCGACATTAGGTCTTATTTAACACGTTTATTTTATTGTTTGTTATTTCTTCATGTAGTTTGCCATACATTGTACCTTGTGCAATTGTCGTGCAATAAATATCTCTCTCTCATGATCTCTCATGTCCGTAGCCAGGATTTGGCGGGGGGGGGGTGCTCTTCCCACTGTCTGGAGGACCAACGTGTGCCATAGGCGCAGGGTTCCTAGGGGGGTCCGGGGGCATGGTCCCCCGAAAAATTTTGAAAATTGAACCTTCTCAAATTGCATTTTGAGAGAATCGCAAAGGAAAAAAAATCAGAGATAATTTTTTGTAAGATTCCAACAAATAAACTCCAGTGTCTTTTTCTGTAGGGACTTTTCTATGTGACCGGAGATGACCCCACCTACTCACGTGACGTACTTTGTCGCGTGTGTTCGGTAGCCGTCTGTTGGGATGAACTTTCACCTACATTTCGTCTGGCTCTGCACCAATTTACTGAATGATATTAATGGCTGGTTTTGGTCGTTCGTCGATTTTGGCAATGCTGCCGTCATCATTAAGAATCATGAGTGCTGACTGATGCTGATGACCATGACATTTCATCCATATCCACCTATCTATCAAACTGAGTCTACATCAATACTTACTTACAGAGGCATTTAGGGTGACTTAGCTTGATCTTAAGATGGGAACTCGTCCAAAAGTACCGAACTCTGGCCTTAAAATTTTTTTAACGAGCTCTGAATCGTCATCTGGAGACGTTTAGCAAACCTAGCAGAGGCTCTTAGGAAGTTTCAAAACAATGTCAAGATGTACAAATGTAGGGTAAAGGACACAAAGACGAGACAAAACTTTCAGTACGTTCTAGTAGTACGAACGAAATCGCTATAACAAGTACAAGTATCTCCTCAATGGCCGTAACGACGTTACAGATTCCTCTTATAGACGAAACGGTTGTAGAAATTGATTAAATTGGGAGGCAAATAAAAGGTAACTTAATCAAGTGTGGCATGAAAGAAAGAAAGAAAGAAAGAGAGAGAAAGGAAGAAAGAAAGAAAGAAAAAGAGAAAAAAGAACAAAGAAAAAGAAAGAAAAAGATAGAAGGAAAGAGAGAAAGAAAAGAAAGAAAGGGTAATCAGCAGTATCATCATCAGCAGTGTAAATAACATTCACTCCCGAAGCACATTTCGCATTTACTTTGTCCGCTTCAGTACACAGTGCCTACTGCCTTATGCAAACACTTTCTGCGATGACAAAGGTCTTAAGTGTGACAACGTACACCGAATTTAACATAAGTTAATGATAATACAGGCTCGTTAAGAGCTAGTGTGTACGCTGGCTCTGGCACCAAGGCCTAAATAAGTTCTGAATTTAGAAGAGTGCTGACGGTACCCCCCCCCCCCCAACGCAGTGCCAACTATAACCCTAACCCTAACTCATTTCTCGGTCTCTACACCAAGTACTGTATGTTTTTTTTACGCTTACAGCGTCTATGTTCCAGTGACCATAGGCACCCCCATGAAACTCCTTCCTCTTCGCCCCCGCCGTTCTGCGTTCTTACGTTTATAAGTACTGGCGGGAAATTTCACTCACGGCTGTACTTATAAACGCCAGTACTTATAAACGTAAGAACCACTGACGGGCCGTGAGGTAGGGGTAAACTTTTGAATGGGAAGGATTTGTGCAACGCCACTTGGCAGAAAGGTGGTCCAGAATGTTTGCCGGAGCATGGGCTACTTTAAATTTGGCGGCACAGCCTTTATTGTTATTTTGCAGACGATTTTCGTGTCGACTGTGAGCTGTGCCGCCATTGGGGGCTAAGCAGAAGGACGGGGGCAAAGCAGAATTGCGCCGGGGGCGTAGAGGAACGACGGGGGCGAAGCAGATTTTTTGCGGGGGCGAAGCAGAACGGGGCGGGGGCGAAGCAGAACGGCGGGGGCGAAGAGGAAGGAGTTTCATGGGGGTGATAGGTGTGTGCCCTAATATCAACCCTAACCCTAAACACCTGACCGCTCACGTATGTGGCAGCTCAAGGATTTGGCTCAACACACAACGAGACTTGTTTTCACCGGAAACTCTCACTGGTAAACATCCCCGCAAAGAGCGCTGACACAGCAAGCAGCTAGCGAGGCGAATACAAACAACCACAGCGGTATAAACAGGCTGAGGGGTACAACCGTGCTTTAAAGTATGCCCAGGCACGGTTCTGGATAGTCCACGCGTATCCAAAACCGTACCTGAGGCAAATCGACGTTCTTGGATCATATTAAACCCTAGCCCATTCAGACATTATAGAACTAGATAATCACGGTTCTGGATACAATATAGGGGGCTTCGGCTTTTACGGTAGCTTTTAGGCTCTTAGATATATTTGGCGTATTAAATCGCGCACGACTTTCATCACAAAGTTCTAAATATCAGTAGAGACTTCACCCACCTTTATATATTGCTCCACGAACTAATATTCTGTGAACGATCGTCTTCAACAAATCCGCACGGTATTAAACTAGAGCTATTCCGTGTTTACTACTAAAATCCACGCGGCCTGGACTGAGGCCCACTGTTGTGATGATGTAATACTAGGTAACATGAGAAGACAAGGCCAAGGACTAGTGCTGGACAAATTCTCCTGGGCTCAACTCCCCCGTAGCGGTAATTTAGACAGGCGGAGTAGGGGCTCTTGGCTGCCGAAGGAAAACGGCTAACGGCCCGATACTAGTTTGGCACCTAGGGTAGGCCAAGGAGAGGGTCTAAAGTAGAGTAGAGTAGAGTAGAGTAGAGTAGAGTCTGCTATATCCTAGCTAGCTACGAAATCACACTGCCTAGGTCCTACCCTGTACGTATAGCAGAACAGTGGGTAAGAAAAGGTGGCCTCGCGTCATACCCCATCCATGGCTGCCCTGTCCTAGCGGCCCCATTTCTGCTTACCTTAGCAAGTTGACACAGTCCAGCTGACTTGTAACAAACAATGGCCTGTACCATTATACCGTGGGGATACTGTACGGCATACCCCAGGAAGTTGTGTTCAAGCCAGGAAAAGAAACTTAACACATTTCACATTTTTTGCGTAGTTTACGTAGAATTCTGAATATTAAGTGGAATGATTATGTAACCAATGTAGACGTTCTCACACGTGCTAGTATCCCTAGTATGTACACACTGCTGAAGGGGGCCTGCAGGGGGTGGGGGGGTCCGGACAACGCTCTACGCTAAATTCGGAAACTTCTCGATTACGCTTTAAGATAAATTCCAAGTGGCCACAACGCATTACATAGAATTAAAACGGCAAATACGCTCTACGCAAAATGCGCCAATTACGCTCTACGTTGAATGAGAGCGGTCCGTTTAATTAAAACGGTCGATTACGCTCTACGGAAAAGGGCTTGCGCACTGAAAAAGCGTTGGCTTGGACATATTTGCCGAATGCCAGACCCAAAGGACCTGTTGTACAGTGAACTTGCCAACGGGACAAGAGCACGTGGTCGTCCTCACCTGCGCTTTAAATACGTTATTAGACGGGACACGAAAGACATGGACATAGATATTATCACATGGGAGACTCTTACAACAAACAGAACACTTTGGAGACAGGAAGTTAAGAAGGGGTTACATGTCTTACATCGGGGGGAAGAAAAACAGAGACTCGCATCAGAACTCAGACGTGGGGTCGTGTGGCGTAGTGGCAGAGAGCGCGACTCGGAACTTAGAGTCCCGGGTTCGAGTCCTGACATGCCACCGATCGTGTGCCCTTGGGAAAGGCACTTTACACGACTTTCCTCACTTCGCTCAGGTGAACATGAGTATTGTCCTGTCATGTATTTGTCCCCTGTGTTGGTGGCGGCATTAAGATAAGTTGAAAAAAACGTGTGCCGTCACCACGTCTGGTGATTACATGTTGGAATAATAAAAAAAAAACTCAGACGCTCTCAGCGTAAAAAGAATAATACATGATGTAGAAGAAGATTCTTCTTCATGGTCTTACGAGACGGATGAAATGCCTACTATTACGGCATACCCCAGCCGCCATAATCTCCAAGCAGATCCCTCTCGGTGGCAAAAAGACAGTATCAAATTGGCCAGGCAGTATCTATTAGCCAGAGAAGGTCGCCGGCCACCGTTGGTGGGGATCAGGTGTAAGAAACAGGAGGAGCCAGTAGAAAAAGGTAACGATCATTCCCCACAACCTCTGCTTGGAGAGTAAGCCGCCAGTCTGCTTATCACTAATGTCTACTACCGCCGCCCCGGTCTGCCCTGATCAACCTCGCTGACCGCAAGAGTTCAGAGTCCACAGCTATCGGCAATCCGCGCTTAGCAAACACCGAGCGAAAGAAAAATGCTGAAATATTGACCTGTTTTGCTGATCCATAGAAAGACGCCAGCCACCCAGGTCTACGGGGATAGAAAGGGTTTCGATAGGACGCTTATAATGCCTGCATGAATGGGTTTAGTACTTAAGGCACGGTTCGGGATAGTCTCCGCGCATCCCGAAACGTAGCTTTTACCCAGGCGCGGTTCTGGATACACGTGGACTATCCTGAACCGTAAGGCTCTGGATAAAGATACCAAAAATAAATAATAATGGGCCGCTACATGCATGCATACACATCGAATAAGTGGTTGCACATCTGCCGACAGATGACATAGACAAAGTGCACACGAACGGCTACCAGGCCTGCTGTAGCCGCTAACGGTACAATGGCTCGTCAGTCATGGCTAGTCCAGACCGGCTTCACGTGCTCCCTCCCCGTGACCTGTGCAGTAGTGTGTACACAAGCCCGGAGCTGCACACCTTACATGGCGGAGGTCGGGTCTACCGGATGCAGCGTCAGCAAACAGATTTTTTTATATATTCCAACATGTAAACACAAGAAAGACGTGGTGACGGCACACTCAAGTTTTTTCAACTCCGCCACCAACACAGGGGACAATACAACACTCATTTTTACCTGAGTTAACTGAGGAAAGTCGTGGTAAGTGCCTTTCCCAAGGGCACAAGATCGGTGGCATGTCAGGAATAGAACCCGGGACCTCTTGGTTCCGAGTCGAGCACTCTGCCGCTACGCCACACGACCCCACACAACCTTAAGCTCTCAAACGAGAAAATATCTGTTCTTCAAACCAACATACTGATTCCATGAACGTTGATGTGAATATCTAGAATGCACTGACACACGATGGAAGCGAAAAGAACTAAAGGTTTGCACAACAAGAAAGAACGGAGAAATCTCAGCTTACTCACAAACAATGGAGGGTTGCTACAGACGCAATGTTGCTAGAAAATCTGCGTTAAGTTGCAGCGCGCCAAGTTACTTTGCATACAGCACGAAATGGGGGTTTCCTCTACATACAGGTGCTGGTGTACAAATATACTACTCTTACAACCATTAACCGTAGAACAAATCTTAGTTAGAAACTGCACACATACACAAGGGTAAAGCGTACACTCTGCTTAGTACAAATGCATGTATCGGTTTAAATCTTTCATTATTATACAAACTTAAAAGCACGCAAAGCAAAGGCACACATACATGTACTTACAGTGTAAGCCACATACATCGTAAGGTGCACCTTGGTGGATTTTCCGAGGACGATCGGAGATTAAGCAATAGTTTGAAAATTAAACTACCATTGTTCCTTCTCAAACCTTCAACGCACTGCGATATTTTCCAAAAAACAACAACACAACTATCTAGGGTGCATCGAACGATGTATGTGACGTGGGCTTTATGAGATTATAAAGAAATCGGAGTCGTTAAGAAGGGAAAACGCATAAGAAAGTCTGACCTTCTGATCAGTCCGCTAACCGCACAGGTGCCCGGGTCACACCACCTGTAGACGTGGGGAGGTTGTGGTGACGAGCCGGTGTCAAGCCATATACATGATCCTGCCAAATACATGACTCCGACACTACATGGGGGTTTCCAATATACCTGAAACAAGGTTTGGTCGTGATGTGGGAGACTAAACTTAACCTAACCCTAATCGTAAGACTTAGTATAACCTTAGCCCTGAACAATGATCCCAGCTCTAACCCTAACTCAGAGCTAATTCTAGTACTAAGTCCTAACCCTAACCCTAACCCTAGCCCTAAACACCTGACCTCTCACGTATGTGGCAGTGCAAGGATTTGGCTCAACACCGGATCGTCCGTGCTTTTTCAGCGCTCATGGTCCAAAGGTCGGCGTCGTGCCTTCATGACGTCTCGTCTGGCACCGCCGGGCGATCTACATGTACTGGGGTGACTAATGATGTGTACTTAATAAACAAAGGATGACATATTCTTACAAATACTGTCTTTAGTTATTATAAACTATGATGTATTAGAAAAACTCGTGTACAAATTCGTGTACAAATGTCTAAAGAAGAGAGAAGAAACATGTACAGCTTAGATATAAACAGAGCATAGTATAGTTTGCTTAATCCTTTTTGTAGCTAAAGTAGTGCATTTAGCCAAACTGGGGCATGAATATGCAATTATACTTCATTGTCGAACTTGTCAATAATCCTACCGATTATTTTTTCTTTTCAAACATTTATCACAAGACAAGGCGACAAGACACTCAAGTTTTTTCAACTTAATTTTTATGCCTGCTGACACCAACGCAGACAAACGCACGGGCAACAGACATGCAGTAATCATTTTCACCTGTCAGTGAGCGAAACCAACACACTGAAGTGAGGTGTAAAGTGCCTTTCCCAAGGGCACAGGATCGGTGCCATGGCAGGATTCGAACTCCGGACCTCTTGGTTCCGAGCCGAACGCTCTGCCGTTACGCCACGCATCCTACTGACTTGTATGGACATACTTTATAATGATTGGGACATTACATAATATTGTATACTGCATACTGCGCAATTTCAATAGGTATACTTGCTACATTATACGAAGTTAAAAAAATTATTTACTAATTAAATTGTTAAGTATACCCCGAAAATGGTAAGAATACAAGTAGAATCACACAGTACGAAATGAAATTACGGTATTCCCCATTTGTAACCCACTTTATTCCAAAATTGAGTAGTAAAATGTAATGTAATATTTATCATATTGTGTAAAATGCACTCAGAGCTATAACATATACTATATGGCTTTCTTTTTAGTTTTGTTTTAGTTGTAGGTATGGTAGAACTTACTAGATGTTGATAACAGCCTAACCACTTTAATATAAATCTATAATTAGTATAAAAGCTATATCATTACCAATGGTATTCGTACACTGGCATATATGGTATTAAATTTCTAATCTGATGACACTATATTGACTTTAAATAAAAATTATTACCATTAGTATTGTTATTCATACACCTAACAATAAGTAGACATGATCTGTTTTGATTGTCTAGTCTCCTGTTCCAACACAAACCTTACTGTGCAGCTAAACTTCTTTGATCTCTTGAAACATTTAACTTTTCCAGGGTTCCCAAAGACTTAGTAGAAGGGGGTTGGAGGCGTTAATGATGTTAAAAATGTATAATTATTATAAAAAGTTTGCAGTTGAAACACCCCATAAATATTATTAGCACAACAAGTCATCGCAAATGTTCTTGGAGATAAAAACATCACAAATGTTTTCCGCTCTACAGCTGCAAGGCTGGCCATAGAGCATCGGTTACATGATGCAGAAATAATTGTCTCTAAAAGTTGTCTTCACCATTCCATCTGTAGAAAATACAGAGAGCATTAAAACTATACGGTGTAGTAGGAGTAGTTCTTGCCACATCACTGGGCAATGATAAACAATGAATGATGCAATGCTGGTCACCTAGCAACACTGGTCACCTAGCAACACTGGTTGCCTAGCAATGCTGGTTGCCTAGCAGCAGTGTCATGGACAGGGTCAGGACAAGGCCTAGGGGTAAAAGTTCATAATCATAGTCTTGATGTTTACCCTGGGTTTTGCAGGAAGATTAAGTTAACCTCACTGTTTAGGGTACAAGTTGTGTGTTTCAAAATCTATCCAGTTACTAGAGAAACTGTTTTCTTCTTAGTGTATTGATTGTGCCTTGATTGTCTAAACTTCATGAACGTATTTCATTGAGTGCTTTTATTATTACTTACCTCTCTTTGAAAGGTCCGAGACAAAATGACCATACCAGCTTCACTTAGATGGCAAGGATTGCTGTTCATACAGCTGGAGTCTTGGGTAAATTTGCCTTCATATTCTGATATTAGGTTCCGTATAATTTATCATTTAAAAATGATAAATTATACGGAAAATTGCAAATTTAAAAATGTATTGCTAGTGGCATGTATTGCTTGTCAAACATGTGTTTGTTTGTTATGTTAACTGAAGGAAAACATTCTGTTTTTGCTCTGTTTCCTCTTCTTCCATTTAAAACACAAAAGGTCAACCATTGACCAGAACCAGATGTCTGTTACCATGGTAACTGGCGTTGTTGCAACTTTATAGCAGGAGGGATTCCTGTCACCATGTAACTGTTATATGAATATATTTGAGTGAGAATTAACAGAGCAGACCATATGGCAGTGAACATTATGCATTTGCTTTGCAAATGTTACCTTTCTACAATGTAGCTATAGTTTATGTTTTGTTTACCCAGAGAGGCCCAACTTTTCTGTCAGATAAATAGAAAATACTGCATATACCATATCACCCGAGATACCAGCTCAACTGCACATCATGTGATGACTGTTAGAACCCTGTGTGATATGGCTAGTTATCACACGGATCGGAAAACACCCCTATCCAATGTTATTGTGGCCCAGCTATGACATAAACTGCAAATCTTCCTACTGACTCATGTCATTCGGCAAAATAGATTTTGGGGGCATAATCATGAATATTTCCATACTTGTGAATGGTATTTCCATAATCATGAATGGTATTTCTATTCACGATTATGCCCCCAAATCAATTTTGCAGATTACATCAGTAGACTTTTCGGAAGTCTCAAGACTCCGTTCAAGACTTCTTCTCCCACTCCTTGGTCCTCAGCTCCACTCTTCGGATCTTACCGCTGACTGTCTTCGGCAGCTCCTCAACAAACTCAATCTACAACAAACATAAACAAGTAAACAAACAAACAAACTGGTGGACGTACCAACTACTAAGTACCTAATACCAGCCCAGAAGCTCTGTGCAGAGCATAGGGGTGGTGTCCATCTCCATTTCTATTGCCCTTGGGCCACACACTGGACTAGCCCCTGCTTACATTTGTAAGTGCAAGTACTACAGCAGGGGGCTAGTCTGCTGGTAGTGGTGTGTGTTTGACCTTCCTATACTCTTTCTCATACATGTAGATGCTGAGTGCTAATTGTTACCATTTTTAAAGTCTTTGGTATGACCCGGCCGGGGTTTGAACTCACGATCTCCCGGTTACAAAGCGAGCACTCTACCAATTGAGCTATTTTTCCTTAAGACATGTGTATTACCTGTCTGGGGTACTTGTAAGGAGCGGTTGTTTTCTTGACGTGTTCTTGTATGTCTTTAATCAGCTCCTCCGTCTGTCTGACGTCTCGGTAACTCGGCGATAGGATAATGAACGCCTTCACAACCTGGACATATAAGGGCATAAAGTACATATATGGTCATGTACGTATAAGGGCATGTACGTATAAGGGCATGATGTACATATATGGTCATGTACATATAAGGGCATGATGTACATATAAGGTCATGTACATATAAGGTCATTTGTATCATACCCGGGCCGCGATAACGTTCGATAACGGGTTCCAGACCGGGCCGTACTTTACGGTACGGCCCGGTCCCGAACCCGTTATCGAACACTTCCATGGCTTCCATAAAACGATTCGAACGCGTTTCGCCCTAACCGCGTGTACCCCTTTCGAAAATTCGAATACAGAATCCGGACGTTGGAATTGATGTTGTTGCAGTTTAGGGTTTAGTGGCCCCAACTTTTGGCTCATCTTGCATTGAAAGGCGTGTTTTCTTGGGTGGGTATGACATAAATAAAATACAACACGGTGTATTCCGCATCGCCCTCGGTCCCGGCCCTCCCGCGAGTCGGATCGCCCTCCGGCCTGTGGCCGGGCCGATACATCGGGCGATACGGAATACCCTGTGTTGTATTCTATATGTACATACATTTGTATATGGACATTTGCATATGGACAAGAACATATAAAGACAAGACTTAGTACATGATATTGTACATAGATAAGGACATACAAAAGATTTCAAATTTAGACATTGGATCTTTACTACTAGTATATAATCTGAGAGATACAAGAAGAAGAACTTTAATGCACATCAAAAATTGTAGTAGGTATATATGGCAACTTAAGCTTGTACATAAATGGAACTAAATGTTAATATTCTATAATATACCAGTAAAGACACTCTTATGATGCTAAAACTCTAAACAATAACTATCTAATTTTAGTAGAAAACAATATGTTCCCAACTATAGAGAAGTGCCATACCTCCCCCCTGATGTGGTCTGGACTGCTGACCACAGCTGACTCTGCCACGGCGGGATGTTCTATCAGCGCACTCTCCACCTCAAACGGGCCGATTCTGTACCTGCAGGTGGAAGGCGGTAACTCCAGTCTAAACATCCATGCTTGGACATGTAGCTATAGTTTAGGCCACACCGACTTAATTTTATGGAAGAAATCCACATGCACATTCAATGATATGTTGATTTTCGCTTGTCCTCAAAAAAAAAAAGATCATGTCCTCCGAGGCTCTGGCCTGGCTCTAGGTCTGGGTAGTCCATGGTAGTTAACGACAATACGAAGCCGGTGGTAACCCTGGAGGATGGCACCCAGGCTGCCGAAGCTCCACGACTCAAGAACTCAGTACATTACGTACAGTGCCGATGCATACATTCCGCAAAAAGCCAGCATGTGCCGGCTTGTCGTATACGTGGCCAAGTACTGCTGCAAATTCACAATACTAGCTTTGTATTCCTGTGGTTTAGTAACATTTTTATTTTTGGCCAGAATTTTTTGCCCGCGCGCACTACATGTTGTAGTTTGGGGGTCTTCAGAGGATGTCATCCATAAAAGTCAGTGTGGCCTTAGTAGTAAGTTTGTGGTTGAAAATAGTCACATGCTGAAGACCACACTGTCGAAACAACTAGGAGCTAGTAGAAACAAAGTAGAAACATGTAACCCCTACTGACCCAGCGGACAGAATGACATCGTCGGCCCTCCCCACGAACCAGAGATAACCGTCCTCGTCTCGCAGCCCGCGGTCGCCCATCACGTAGTAATCCCCGCGGAACACGCCCGCAGTACGCACAGGGTCATCCTGCCGGAAACAACGGACAGTGTGTAAAACCATTGTGGAAAAATTATACATTCTACTGTACATACATAAAATTGTAATTGTAAATTGTGAGATGGCCACTCCACAATGGCCCACTTTACACACACCATTTCTAAGTCGACTCAGCAAAGTCGACTTAAAAACTTCTGTTTACGCACGGGGTCCCAAAGTGACTTAGCACTCCTGCTGTGCCACCCTCCCCCCAAGTCGCCCGTTTACACTCGTGAAGCTAGCAGACTCGGCACCCGACTTAACTCTGGTTGGGATACGACTCAAGAATGCAACTTGAGTTGAATTATTTCTCTTTACACAGGGAACTTTTCGCTCACGTCAACTAGCTCAAGTTGTCTTGAGTTCTAGTCGACTTGAAAAAGTTATGTGTAAAGCAGGCCAATGTTGATTTACATGAAGCCTTGCCACCGCGTTGTCCTGAAAACCAGTTCACGTACCAAGTAACGAGTAAACAGCCCCACTGGAGGCTGTGGTTTGACCTTGATGGCAAGGTCACCCTCCTTCCCAGGCTGCACCTCCTGACACTTGTCGTCTATCACCTAGCAACAGGGAAAAAAACAAACAAATTTTACATAATTATACAATATTAAACTACCTTGAGGTCAAACATTTAAGATATATTTACAAGTGAAATCTAATATGTAAACATAGAGCTTTTATCTAGTATATTGTTTCCTTATTGACTTTTAATATTTCTTAGTTATGTTTTTTTTTAGATAGAATGAATAAAAGATATTACACAAATGTCAAAAACTGTATCAAATTTGTACACGTGTGTTCACTATCATAATTCTGTTAAACTGAACTGAACTGTTAAACAGAAAACAAATACATGTCAATGGCAACGAATACTGAAAAATGGAATAGATTGCTAAATAATGATTGATTGATTGATTGATTGGTTGATTGAATGAATGAATGAATGAATGAATGAATGAATGAATGAATGAATGAATGAATGAATGAATGAATGAATGAATGAATGAATGAATGAATGAATGAATGAATGAATGAATGAATGAATGAATGAATGAATGAATGAATGAATGAATGAATGAATGAATGAATGAATGAATGAATGAATGAATGAATGAATGCTCACCCTAAGATCGTACCCAGGAGCAGGTTTCCCCATGGACCCCGGCCGCACGTCCAGACATCGGAACATCCCACAGGCTAGACACTGTGCAGGCAGGCACAAACAACAACTTTATATTCCCCAAAAGTCTTCCCCAAATGGCTAATTGCAAGAGAAGTATATTTTTCGCTCATGTACCATGAAAAAGGTGAACAATGAAGAACAATTCTACTAGCATATGACTAGTCTATGGCTAAATGCTGACTCTAGTCTAAATTCTAACTTGCTCGGTTTGACCATTTTTCCTGAAACAGTGGAGGATGAAACTACATGTACTGAATGCTGTTACCATCATAAGGCTGGAGAATATTTTTCTTGTTGTCTGTAAATGTGGAAAAATTAGGACGGAATCTGGTGTTGCTTCTTTAACGACAATTCTTTTTCCCCTGATCATAGAAGTGTATGACTTAGTCATCTTATTTTAGAGCTCCAGGAAATTTCCACACCTGCTAATTTGTTACGCACCGTTTCTGACTGCCCGTAGCCCTCCCTGATTGTGAGCCCTGTACCAGCCTTCCACTCAGCCATCACTTCTGGGTTCTACAGATGGAAAAAACAAGAAATCTTTTAGTCTCAACTTTGTTTGGTCCAGATAAAGACTGGCAACAATAAATAATTTGGTTTAGCATGCCCTATATGTAAGTGTCCTCATTAATATACTAATGAGGACACTTTATTTATATTAATACATTTCCAATGTCAATGTTAAAAAACTGATTGTACAATGTTTCATCACTCAGGTGTCAGATCATGGAGCTAGTAAAGGTTGATCACCTCGAAAAATTTAATATGTCCCTTGCGGGGGTGCAAAAGGCTAGGGTCAGCAGTTTTTTCTAGGGTCAATTGGGAAACAGGAATCACAACATTTTTTTTCCTAGGCCCAACATACAATAAAGATTCACAATTCTTACTCTGTGTTCTGTCAGTCTTTTGCGCTTCTTACAACAAAAAAGTTTTGTACCCTACTGAGTGGAAGTTTACATGGAGTTTTTCTGTTCCTGACAGAATGTACTCCAGGTTTAATATCTTTAGGTGGAAGAAAAACATTGCAGGGGTGGGAGGGGTCTCGTAGTATCCTTTTCAGTATCCTTACCAGTGGTTCCCCTGCACTGACCACATGTTCCAGCTTGGACAGGTCGTACCCAGACAAGTCATTCTGTATCATCATACGGTACGCAAACAAACAAACAAACAAACATACTGGGGACTTACCAGTGGTTCTCCTGCACTGACCACATGTTCCAGCTTGGACAGGTCGTACCCAGACAGGTCATTCTGTATCATCATACGGTAGGCAAACAAACAAACAAACAAACAAACATGCTGGGGACTTACCAGTGGTTCCCCTGCACTGACCACATGTTCCAGCCTGGACAAGTCGTACCCAGACAGGTCATTCTGTATCATCATACGGTAGGCAGTGGGAGGGGTGCACATGGTGCTGATGGGAACTGTGGACAGGATCTGGCACAAAAATCAGCAAGCAGTAATAAATTAGTAGCTAGATCATGTATTTTAGTTACTTCTGTATCATAGTTTGATTTCTTGTTAATGATAACTTTATTGCAAATAGTGCTATAGAGTCATAAGAGTATGGGAGGGAGGGGCTACTGGTAAGCAGTGCATAATGTGGTGTCATTTGAATTGAGTTGGTCAAAGCGGAGTAAGTGTATGTTTTCCAGGTGTAAGTTACAAGTGTTGCCATGTGGTGTAGCAGTAGTGTGTTTCGGCTCAGGACCAAAAGGTCACGGGTTCGAATCCTGCCCATGTCACCGATCTTGTGCCCTTTGGAAAGGCACTTTACACGACTTTCCTCACTTTACTCAGGTGTAAATGAGTACCTAGCTTCGGTTAGGGACGTCCCTCGGATAGGATGTTAAATGGAGGTCCTGTGTTTGGGAGAGCCACACCCCACGCACGTTAAAGAACCCACCGCACTTATTGAAAATAGTAGGGGTCCTTCCCGGTGTGAGTGGTTCAAACCTTACAGTCCGGTCTTACGCAGCTTGTACTTACATGTACAAAACTGGACAGGTGTGTTATGCCTAAAGGCAGTTTACTGCAGCTGGTTATGCGAAACCAACGTCAAACATTTTAGCCTACCTTTAGTGTTTCGACAGGATCAAACTTGGCAGTGTGGTGTATGAACACGCAGGCTCCCTGTACCCACGGGCCGAACAGGTTACTGTACGCTGACTTAGCCCAGCCGGTATCAGACATGTTCCAGATCACGTCATTAGGTGTCAGGTCCAGCCAGTACCTGTGTTATAATGTACACATAACGCTGCTACAAAACAGAACTGAAACAAAATGACACAAGATAGGTACGGAAAGATAAAGGGAGAGAGAAGGCACATTGTGTTGATATTAGTTAATGACTTGAATCACTTGAACAACTAGAAAGGTAACATTTGCAAAGCAAATGCATAATGTTCACCTTCGCGTATGGTCTGTTCTGTTAATTCTTACTCAAACACATTCACATATGGTCAGACAGGAGTCTACCCTGCTACTATAAGATTGCAACATTATTTATGTAACCCAACACCAGTTACCATGGTGACAGACATCTACAATTCAGGTCATTGGCCAGGTCAGAGGTTAGTGTTTGGAGAAGAAGAGGAAGAGGAAACGTAGCAAAAACAATATTTTCCTTTGGTAAACATAAAAAGTCTCTACCTGCCAGTAATGACATGTCCCAGTCCGTAGCTGGCGTGCGTGTGCTCCGCCATCTTGGGTGCTCCTGTGGTTCCACTGGTGAAGAATAACTGCATAGGCTCCAAACTTCGGGTTTTAGCAACCTAAACAACACAGCACAATGTACAACACAAAGGTACAACTGCATGGGCTCCGTACTACGGGTTTTAGCAACCTAAACAACACAGCACAATGTACAACACAATGGTACAACTGCATGGGCTCCGAACTACGGGTTTTAGCGACCTAAACAACACAACACAGCACAATGTACAACACAATGGTACAACTGCATGGGCTCCGAACTACGGGTTTTAGCAACCTAAACAACACAACACAGCACAATGTACATGTACAACACATGGTACAACTGCATGGGCTCTGAACTACGGGTTTTAGCAACCTAAACAACACAGCACAATGTACAACACATGGTACAACTGCATGGGCTCCGAACTACGGGTTTTAGCAACCTAAACAACACAACACAGCACAATGTACAACACATGGTACAACTGCATGGGCTCCGAACTTCGGGTTTTAGCAACCTAAACAACACAACACAGCACAATGTACAACACATGGTACAACTGCATGGGCTCCGAACTTCGGGTTTTAGCAACCTAAACAACACAACACAACACAATGTACATGTACAACACATGGTACAACTGCATGGGCTCCGTACTACGGGTTTTAGCAACCTAAACAACACAACACAGCACAATGTACATGTACAACACATGGTACAACTGCATGGGCTCCGTACTACGGGTTTTAGCGACCTGCAGTAGAATGTACGTGGGAATGGAATGAAAAGAACTACATTTTGTATTTATTAATTTATTTATTGGTTCGGCTGGTACAAGACAGCCAGGGCAGCCCAACTAGCTTGAAGCTATTATTAAGGGCTTGCCCTGGGGAAAAAGTGTGGTTAAATACATACAAGTGACATAAATTCTTAAAAACGTCTTAATTACACATGTACATAGGGTTAACAAATTTTGTATTACTGTGCAACTCTACTTCAATCCATTAGTCTATTGGCTGAGTTAAAAAAAGGTGATAATATATGAAAATTTGCTGTACGTTTCTTCTGAGTTCATGTTGTAACATTTTACAAAAAAGTGTGCTAGGTGCAGACGCATGCATACATGTACATGATGTGATTGTATGAGTCAAAGCATCACCACTTCAAGCACGCTGCCTTGAGGCCACTTCTGAGTAAAAAGTACCTTTTTGACACCAACAACAGAGTACACAAACAAACATAGCAATGTAACACTATAATTATCATAAGCCAGACAACCAAAAATCTTATATACTGTACTTAGTCTATTATTATACTAGTAGTAAGTATAGTTTACGTGTTTAAAATTAAAACTTTTGTTCCAACACAAAAAATTCACCTAGAGCTTTCCACCAGTCACTCTGGTCTTCCTCAGTAGACTGACCCAGTGAAGCTTGTCACGTGACTTCTTTGAAGTGTGACGTCAACACTGGGTCAAAGGTATCTGGTAGAGTGACTGGTCGAAAGCTCTAGGTGAGAGAATTTTTTTGTGTTGGAACAAAAGTTTTAACTTTAAACACGTAACTACCAACACAGATGAACTTTCCTGAAAGTACAGTTTAAGTCTGTGAGTAAAACTGACCTCATGCTGCAGAGAAGCCTCCCTGAAGAGCTGTCTGTAGTCCAGCCAGCCCTCCCTGGTCTGTCCTGTCTCTGAAACCAACAGCTTCACCTTCAGGTCAGGGCACTGGGCAGACACCTGGAGGTGGAAATGGAAAGGTGGACAAGGAACTATACAGGTACAGGTGGGAAAGGAACTATACAGGTACAGGTGGGCAAGGAACTATACAGGTACAGGTGGGAAAGGAACTATACAGGTACAGGTGGGAAAGGAACTATACAGGTACAGGTGGGAAAGGAACTATACAGGTACAGGTGGGAAAGGAACTATATATTGTATATAGATACAGCCTGTGTCTGCATACAATACATTGTATATAGTTCCTTGCCTACCTGTACCTGTATCATACAGGTGTCCCAGAAATCATCTGGAAGAGAAAATAGAGCAAGTCACCTTGTAGAGATCAGGGCACTGGGCAGATAACTGTGTGTGTACACTACAGAACAGGTACATGTGCATGATATTATGTCTTTCAGTCTGGAGCAGATCAGTGTCACGTTGTCCAGATGTACAAGAAACTATAAACTAAGACTTGATTGATTGCCTTGTATGTTTTCCTACATATTTTGATACATGCTTTTCCTGAATTAAGTATGACAAAGACTCCACATTTTGAACATGTTTAACAGATCTGATGAGAATTATTCAAATGATGATGAGTGCCGTACCTGGTCCACTCTATCTGCGGTGACATCGTCAGTAATGACACAGCTGGCTCCTGACATGCGTAATCGGTGGAGGATGTCCTTAGACATTAACTGGGTGGTCCCTGGACTCAGGACAACACCTGACAAACAAACAAACAAATTATACTTCTTATACTATCATGAAAGTTCATCTGTGTTGGTAGTTACATGTTTAGAGGTAAAACTTTAGGTCCAACACAAAAAGTTCTCCCACCTAGAGCTTTCGACCAGTCACTCTGGTCTTCCTCAGTAGACTGTCGAAAGCTCTAGGTGAGGGAACTTTTTATGTTTTTGTGGAAACTTACCACTGTTAGCAACCCTATTATTATATATGACTATAATGTAGTTAGGTAACAGTGGCTGTTGCCAGCTGAATTAAATTTACATATGATAATTAAAAAATAAATAAATTATACAACCTGCTCTGAGACATGCGATGTTCACCAGCCACCACTCTGGCACCCTGGGAAGGATGACCACTGCCCGATCACCATGTCTCAGGCCACAGGAGGCCTGGAGAATGTTCGCCACTCTGGAGGGCAACAGAAGAAAAATAACAAGAACACCAGAAACATGTGTCAACGTGTCAATTTCCGCACGTTTGGGAATGCATTGGAGATACATTTCCCTGTAATCCAATCACGCACATGTGTAGATATGTAAATATTGTACATTTGGGAATGCATTCTATAGCAGTGACACCTGTGCTGCTGCAGTGCAATGTGAACCAGTCAGAATTGCCCTGAGGAAGGTGACAGACGGTCACTGAAATGCCGGCTGAATAAAAGACTTGGTCGTGTAAAAATAGTCTCTTCACTCAGTGTCTTACCAACCTGATGAAACTACATATATTCACCGAGGTTTTATGGATTGTTTGTTTATTCTGGTAATGACTCAGTGCCTTACTTTTTAGAATATTCAGCCAGTTGTTGGAAGTTCCACTGTAGCTGGTTTCCGTGGTCGTCTATCCACCACAAGGCAGGCTGGTCCGCTCTCTCCTTTGTCTGGAGAAAATGAAAAAAAAAATAGATTTAGGAAATGCATAGGGTCTGCTCTGTTAATTCTTACTCCAACACATTCATAATTATATATTCTTATGCCGCCACCAACATGGAGGACAAATACAGGACAGGAGTTAAGTGAGAAAAGTCGTGTAAAGTACCTTTCCTATACTTTAGGCACAAGATCGGTGACATGTCAGGACTCGAACCCGGGACCTCTGGGTTCCGAGTCAAGCACTCTGCCTTTACGCCACACGACCCCATAAATTATAATAGAAAAGTTTATTGCAAATTCGTGCCCGGAGGCTAATTGCAAATTACAAAACATAAAAGAACAATAAAATAGAGTATAAAATAACTTAAGTCTATATGATAAAGGTAGCTGTCTAGAACTATAACTATGTCTAAAGCTATGTCTGAAGGGTTTGACTTCTCTTCTGTAAACCATGGAAGACGTAATGTCCCACCTTTTCCAAAATTTAAATAATATACACAAAAGCAGTCACCTTCTCTTTCTGTGCCCAGTCATCCACCACGTTGGCGAAGTTGAAATATTCCGGCACTTCCAGGCGGAAATTTCTCCTCCCTGCTTCGTAGTCGTCAAACCCGGTTCTAGAAACCTCTCTAGTCCCGTACGCTGCTGTTGTGTGGATACAGCGAGGTGCAGTGGCTTGAGGTGATGGGAGGAATGTCTTGGAATGTCTAAGGTCATGGTAAGTATTGCCCAACCTTCTCGATCTTGAAGTAGAGGTAGCGAAGACTTGGGCGACTCTGTGAATGAGTTGTTCACACTTCAGAACTGCGGTGTGAAGACTCATGGTGGAATGTCACTGTTCTGAAGACTTTTTTTTGGGGGGGGGGCTTCAAAAATTAAACACCTGAAAAGACAGGGTTTGCAATGAGCTGCATATTATGTGTTACTGGCAGATATGTGTAACGTTATGTGCTGGATATTATGCGGTACCATGTGTTAAAACGTGTTATTATGTTATGTGTACATATTATATCATATATAATTATGTGCTAGATATACAGCTCTTTGAGTCTTTACATCTGGGCAAATTATGCGAGTACTTTTCGGTGACCTATTTCCCATATTGTATGACACAAGCATATTTAGAATCCGGACTACCTGTCCATATTACTATATTTAAGACATGTCTTTATCGGTCTTCTGAATTTATCTTACACTAGAAGTGGACAGCAAAAGTACAGAGAATTTCGTAAGGTGGAAAACCCCACTCCTATGTTACCCTAGCTTGAAAACTGTCCAGGGCACACACCGGGGAAGAAAAACAAAACACACCCACCTATAAAATTTATTGAAATGCCTTTCGTAGCTGAAAAAAAAGACTGTGCAAACCCCAAGTAGACTTTACCTGTTGCTTCATACCAGGGTTAAGCTCAACTACGGAGCTTACTTGGCCCTTTCTTGCCCCTGGCAGCTGACATAAAGATATATATTTCTTCTGCGACGTCGAACTGCAAGCTTACCTCTTGTGATGGGTCATTCGGGGTCACTCAACTCAAAGTTCCCTGGACGAAACCACTATATGAAAGGTAAACTGTCTGATATTTAAAAAGAAATATAACAAACGAAGAGGTAAGATTTATACAATTTAATATCTTTAGAAAATAGTTCCTTATAAGCAAGTATTGTTTGATTTGGTTACTGTTAGTCAATACGCAAGATGTTTTAGCATCAACAAGTGTCGGGAAAGGGAACTGACGTTCAACAGCATGTCGCGAGAGGTCGCTTATGGCAAATGGTTGTAAATAAAAGGTGAACTAGATAGTAATATTAGCGGTTGCTAATATAGACAGGTTTGCGTTGTACATAGTCATTGTAGTGTAACTTACAATATGTTTTTTGTGTGTGCTTTACCTTTTACAGGGTTCCTTCTCATCCTTTTCTAATCCCCACTTACCTTGTAAACAATTTCGTCATCAATATACTAACAAAAGAACAATAGTTACACCCAAAACAAAATTTCACTTCTTTATGACTTCTCTATGCCCCATGACCTTTAACCTTTTGAGGGTCATGCAGGCGTCAACAGCGCCCTCCCCATGCCTTGCCCACCTACCTACCGAACTACCTACCTACCTACCTACCGAACTACCTACCTACCTACCCTCGCAAATGCAAGGTGATGTTTCTGCACTTCTCAAAAACTGTGCCACCACTACCCTCACTAAAAATTGACAACTACCCCCTAGTACAAGTTCAAGTAGCTAAACTCCTGGGGCTCCATATACAAGCTGACCTAAAATGAAACACCCAGGTGG